GACCACCAGGGGGCAGATGCTCCGACTGATAGCTATACTGTGCACTGACCACCAGGGGGCAGACGCTCCAACCTGTAGCTATGACGCGCACTGAACACCAGGAGGCAGGCAGTCAGCACAGGAGCTGACAAGCTGTGGTGACTTGGCAGCTGCAGTTCTCAGGTGATGCACCCGGAACCAGAGAGGAGGGAGCCTGATTCTGGGGTTCATCACCCGAGACCCACCCTCTCGCAATCTGGGACCCCTCGGGGGATGTCGGGGAGCCAGTTTCGGCCCGATCCCCGCAGGCCAGGCTGAGGGACCCCACTGGTGCACGAATCCGTGCCCCCGGCCCCTAGTCTATATATATAAAAGGCTAATATGCAAATTGTCCGCTCGGGAGTTTGACCAGGAGAGCGGGAGTTCGATCGCTCGCTATGACGTGCGCAGACCACCAGGGGGCGGCGCAGAACACGGCGGGCGACCAGCGGCAGTGGCAGGGGGCTGAGGGAACGAGGGAAGGGGGAGGCGGGGAGGCGGGGAGGCCAGGCCTCGAGACCTTAACGTGCACCGATTTCATGCACCGGGGTCTCCAGTTCATAAATCAGAAGATGCCCCGATGGCGCCTGGCAGAGAAAGGGCCCCCACCCCGGCTCTGGGTGACGAACCTCAACAAGCGAAGGGGGATTTTTTTCCTCCTGGTTCCTGGCTCCGGGTAGGAATACATGACGTGATGGGAGCCTGCAATCCCGTTCCAGTTGCTCACAGGGAAGGAATGCAGTTTGTTTGTTGGAAAAAGAGCAGAAGGAGAGGAGGAGGCGGGCGGAGGGAGGGGGAGCCGTGAGGCGGGGAGACGGGCAGGTGGGGATCCGGTGGGCGGGACTGAAAAGAGGGAGAAATCTCCTATACGACTCACATCTCCCAAGGGACATTGGGTCTAAAATGGGTATTTGAGGAAGAGTAGACACAGAATTCCTAGTTTGGCTATTATTTTAATTTTATAAGAAAAGAGGTGGCAGGCCCGGCCGGCGTGGCTCCGTGGTTGAGCGTCGACCTAGGAACCAGGAGGTCACAGGTTTGATTCCCGGTCAAGGGCACATGCCCAGGTTGTGGACTCGATCCCCAGTAGGGGGCGTGCAGGAGGCAGCTGGTCCGTGATTCTCTCTCCTCATGGATGTTTCTATCTGTCTCTCTCCCTCAACCTTCATCTGTAAAATAAAAATATATATATATATACTAGAGGCCCGATGCATGAAGATTCGTGCAAGAATGGGCCTTCCTTCCCCTGGCTGCCAGCACCGCCTTCGCTCTGGCTGGAGCCACCTTTCCGCCTTCCCACGCTGCCCAGAGGCCCAAAGCGGCTGGGGCGGTGTGGAATGCCTGTGTCCCGCCCCACCCCGGGCCACTCTGTGTATGCAAATTAACCCGCCAGCTTTGGTGGGTTAATTTGCATACTCACTCCTGATTGGCTGGTGGGCGTCACGAAGGTACGGTCAATTTGCATCTTTCTCTTTTATTAGTGTAGATATTGTAAAAAGTCGGCCACGTGCAGGTTGCAAATGAAATGCTCTCTCTCTGCACGGTAACCCCCCGTGGTTGCTGGGCAGGTGGGCGCGGGGCCCATGAGCCTGGGAGACACTCACTGTTGCTGGCGGCGGGCGAGGGGGTGAAGTGCAGGGCGACCTTCGCGCTCTTGAGGCGCGTCTGCCCCCAGTAGGCCACGGCCTGCAGCTCCACGCTGTAGTCGGAGTCCGGCTGCAGGCCCTCCAGGACCACGGAGTTCTGGGACTGGGGGACAGGTGGAGGGGCGCCCCAGTCACAGGCCGCCCAGTACAGGCCACCCCGCCTCCCAGCCCACCCCCCACCCCCGCGGAGGGCACTCCCCCTTCGGGTCAGACCGCGGTCTCCTCACGCTTACAGATAACTTTCTAAGCTCACCCCTTCTTCCTCTTTTTTAATTTTAATTTTTAATATATATATATTTTCAATCCTCACTTGAAGGATTTTTTTCCATTGATTTTTAGAGAGAGTGGAAGACAGAGAGGGAGAGACACAGAGAGAAACATCGATATGAGAGAGACACATGGATGGGTTGCCTCCTGCACGCGCCCCAACCAGGGCCCAGGCCGGGGAGGAGCCTGCAACCAAGGTATGTGCCCTTGACCGGAATTGAACCCGGGACCCTGAGGTCCGCAAGCCGACGCTCTAGCCACTGAACTACACTGGCCAGGGCCTGAGTTCCTCTTTAAGACCTGCAAATCCAGCCCTAACCGGTGTTGCTCAGTGGATAGAGCGTCGGACTGCGGACTGAAGGGTCCCGGGTTCGATTCCCGGTCAAGGGCATGTGCCTTGGTTGCGGGCACATCCCCAGTGGGGGGTGTGCAGGAGGCAGCTGATCGATGTTTCTGTCTCATCGATGTTTCTAACTCTCTATCTCTCTCCTTCCCTCTCTGTAAAAAATCAATAAAATATAAATAAAAAAATAAAAATGACAGAGGGAGAGCCCTGGCCAGTGGCTCAGTGGATTGGAGCATCACTCCGTGCGCCAAAAAGTTGCGGGTCTGACTTCCTGGTCAGGGCGCATGCCCAGGTTTTGGGTTCAATCCCCCGTTGGAGCAGGTACAGGAGGCAACCCACCAATGTTTCTCTCTCACATGGATGTTTCTCTCTCTCCCTTCCTCCCTCTCTCAAAACCAACAACCATATTTATTTTTAATAATAATAATAGTAATAATAATATTATTATTATTATTATTATTATTATAAACTAAAACTAGAGGCCTGATGCACGAAATTCGGCTTCGTCTGGAAGGTCGTCCGGAAGGTCGTTCGGTTCTAATTAGCATATTACGCTTTTATTATTATAGATAATGATAATAAACTAAAATAGCATAACCCCCAAAGACTATCACAGCTAAATATCAAGGGTGGCTTTTGGAGACGTATTTTATCATTCTAAATGACACAGATGCCCGGCCGGCAGGGTTCAGTGGTTGAGCATCGACCTATGAACCAGGAGGTCAGGGTCCGATTCCCGGTCAAGGGCACATGCCCAGGTTGTGGGCTCCATCCCCAGTAGGGGGCATGAAGGAGGCAGCTGGTCCATGATTCTCTCTCATCATTGTTTCTCTCTCTCTCTCTCTCTCTCTCTCTCTTCCTCTCTGAAATCCCATAAAAAATGTATTTTAAAAAATAAATAAACACATGGCACAGATGCTGCATCTTCAGCGCAAAAAAATAAAAATAAATAAAATAGAGAAACGGTGTTGCTATTTTTGCTGAAAGACTTTCCAATGTGTGTTTGTTTCCTTATGGCCCCGGGGGAACCGCGTTTGTGCAGCTTTGCAACAACTCGATGCCACACGGTATCAGCCGCGAGGAAAGGAAGTGGCGGCTCCCGTACCGTGGAACACGCGTGTGCTATGCTCTGCGCTGGCCCGAGGACGGGGTCACGGGGGATCGTGCCTGTGCCCGTTGCCGCCGGCCTTTCGGGAGCGAGCTGTTCCCTGGGCTACATGCAGGCGTTGGCACCTGCGACGCCAAAGGCATCGTCCTCGCTGTGAGCCGTGGCGGTACCGTAGCCGACGAGGCACGATTATCGCTAATTGTTTAAAAAATAAAAAATAAAAAAAGGCATCGGGGCTCTCTGACCTCCTAGGTGAGACTATAAGGGTGAAGGGGGGGAACATTCCACTCCCTCCATCTGCTCCTTTTTTTTTTTTTTGCTGTAAAAATATATTGTTTTTCTTTTAATCTTTATCGTTGAAGGTATTACATAGGTCCTCGTTCTTCCTTATTGACCTCTTCCAGCCGCTCCTGTCTCCCCCCGCTTCCGCCAGGCCCTCGCCACCCCATCGTCTGTGTCCACGCTGAGGCATATACACACACACATGTTCATTGGTTGGTCTCTCCCCTCCCACCCTCCCTGCCTCGCCTCCGATGACCAGAAACAGACTCAGAGTCACAGAAGCGTGAATGGACTGTGGAACATGAGCCCTGCGTTAGCTCGGCGGGCGGCAGCCGGGAGCTGGCATGGCCCCGAGGGCACACGGCCTCTTACCCCGTCCACAGACATCCTGCGCCTCTTCCTCGCGGGGACCCCCGTGCCGCGGGCGGCCCAGCTCCAGAAGACCTTGTAGTGGTGCACGGGGACGTCGGGCTCCTGGGGCCCGTCCCAGGCCAGCGTGACGGTCACACTTCCGTCGCCGTGGCTGGTGGCGTTGGCGAGCCGGAGGCGGGCGGGAGCGGCAGGGGCCGACGGATCTGGAATCCCAGGAGAGGGGCGGCCATGGGACCACAGGACACGGGGCACCGTCCTCTCTATACGGTGTCCCCCCAAAATGTGGTCACACGCTTTGAATAATTATGAAGGCCAGGTTTATTAAAACGGGAGGCCTGGTGCACGAAATCTATGCACTGGGGGGGGGGGAGGCCCTCAGCCTGGATTGCGAGGGCACAGGCCAGGCCGAGGGACCCCACCGGTGCACGATCAGGGCTGGAGAGGGACGCAGAAGATTGGCCAGCCAGGGAGGGACCGTGGGAGGGCTCCAGGGCGTGTCTGGCCCATCTCGCTCATTCCTGATCAGCCAGACCCCAGCAGCAAGCTAACCTACCAGTCAGAGTGTCTGCCCCCTGGTGGTCAGTGCATGTCATAGCAACTGATCGACCGGTCGACTATCTGCCCCCTGGTGGTCAGTGCACATCATAGCGAGCGGTTGAGTGGCCTTAGCATATCATTAGCATGTTACGCTTTGGTTGAACGGCCGACTGGTCGACCGGACACTTAGCATATTAGGCTTTTACTATATAGGATACATTTCATTTTCGAAATGGAGCTCAGGGCTGTGAAAGTGTGTATACCTTTTGGGGAGACACCCTGTACGTACAATACCAGCTGGAAACCAGTAATAAATAAGACCCCTCTTGCCCGGCCGGTGTGGCTCAGGGGTTGAGCATCGACCTATGAACCAGGAGGTCCCGGGTTCGATTCCAGGTCGGAGCAAGTGCCCGGGTTGCGGGCTCAATCCCCCGTGTGGGGAGTGCAGGAGGCAGCTGTTCCGTGATTCTCTCTCATCATGGATGTTTCTATCTCTCTCTCCCTCTCCCTTCCTCTCTGAGATCAATAAAAATATATTTTTTAAAAATACCCACAAATAGTATTTGTCTCGAAAAGAAAAAGTGTGAAACGGCCTAACCCATCTGTGAAAAGTGAGACATTTCTTTAAAAATAGATGTTCTGCCCTAACCGGTTTGGCTCCGTGGATAGAGCGTCGGCCTGCGGACTCAAGGGTCTCGGGTTCGACTCCGGCCAAGGGCATGTACCTTGGTTGCGGGCACGTCCCCCAGTAGGGAGTGTGCAGGAGGCAGCTGATCGATGTTTCTGGCTCTCTATCCCTCTCCCTTCCTCTCTGTGAAGAATCAGTAGAATATATTTTTTTAAAAAAATAGGTGTTCTATGTTTTGGGGAAGCAAACGCGTTAAAAGGGAAATAACTCGCTCGGTCGCCAACCCAGCCCGGCGAACCGCAGACTCATGTATTGAAATTTCCCCGTAAAGGAGAGACCGACAGGGATTTGGGGTTTTTTTCCATGAAGATCAGGGTTAGCGCCCAGGAATGCCGGGCGGCGAGCCTGCGCTTCACGGAAGCCCTTATATCAAGGTGCTCTTTCTTCTTCTACTTAATCTTAACGATTATTTTCCGGGGCAGATGGAACAATCCTTCTCTCTCCGCCTTCAACGCCAGGGCTGGCCCTCCGCCCGCCCAGACAGGCCGGGCAGAGAGTTATTTTGGAAGCAATGATGCTCCCTTAGGGCGACACGAAACCGCCAGGAGCCTGACAGCCTGAGGGGTTTCCCCGCAGACACCCTGGATTTAGGGATAAATTTAGGGTTTTCCCCAGTAAGAAGGCTCCGTGCTGGGAGGGGGGTGCCCCTACAAGGCTAGGGAGGGGTTCGTCTGTTTTCTGCTTCTATAAAGGCGCCCGATTCTACCTGTCAGGCCCCATAGGCCCGCGGGCCGAGTGTCCCCTGGGACACGGGGTAGGATGTGTGGGGAGCCTCGGCCGGACCCCTCGATGCTCAGGCCTGTCATGGGTGCTGGCGGCCGGGCGGGTGGCTGTCAGTGGCTTATTTCCTGAGCCCCTGCGGCCAGCTAGCAGAGCGGGTGGAGACGGGCTGACGGCCAGGGGTGGGTGTCAATACTGTCACTTTCAAGCTTGCTCGGTGGAAAATGCACCTTTTTTTAAAAAGGACCTTTTTGTTGTTGTTCATCGTTATTTTTTCCCGTTGATTTTCTTAGAGGGAGAGGGAGAGAGGAGAGAGGGGGAGAGAGAGAGAGAGAGGAACAGTGATGTGAGAGAGAGGCACGGAGGGGTTGCCGCCCACATGCACTCCATCCGACCGGGGCCCGGGATCGAACCTGCAACCCAGGAACGTTCCCTTGACTGGGAATCGAACCCGCAACCCTTGGGGGCGACACTCTAACCGCCGTACAACCCCGGCCACCAGGGCTCAAAGGACTATTTTTTTTTTAAATAGAGTTAGAAGTCCACAACATGCCCTGCCAGTGTGGCTCAATGGGTAGAGCGTCGGCCTGCGGACTGAAGGGTCCCGGGTTCGATTCCCGGCCAAGGGCACAGGCCCGGGTTGTGGGCTCGATCCCCAGTGTGCGGCGTGCAGGAGGCAGCCGATCCGTGATTCTCTCTTCTCATCGATGTTTCTCTCTCCTTCTCGCTCCCTCTCTCTCTCTCTAAAAAAAAAAAAAAAAACAGTAAAAATATATTTTAAATGATTTTTATAAAAGCAAAACCTAGGTCAGCGTTCATGGAGAGGCTGGCTCCCGGTGAGGGAGGGAGCCACGGGGCTGAGCTACGAGTGCGAGACGGGAATTCACAGGGAGCCAGGCAGACGTGGGACTAGCTCGCGGGGAGCCCTGGGCACCGGTGGGATGGACGCGGACGTGAATCCAGTGAAATCGGTCCAAGGCTCAGGGCCCCCCGACAAGCAGCGGATTCACACGCCCGTGACCACCCTTCACGGAGCCGCCACCACGGGGCCAGCTGGCCTTCCTCTCCACGTTAACTGGACGCCGCCGGACGCAGACCATCCACAAGCTGGACACCCCGCCTCAGGGCCCAGGGACCCCAGGACGCTGTCCTGTGAGGTCTCGGAGGGCAGCCGGGGGTGGGACGGACACCCCGGGCACCGCAGGCACCTCTGGTCCCATCGCCAGGGACGGCCAGAATGTGGGCCACCCATAGCACAGGCACAGAGCGATGAGTGTGCCCACGTGCCCAGGAGGAGGGTGGGGTGCAGGAGGGGGTGCTCACCCCTGGAGGAGTGGAAGTGCTTGCTAGGGTCCCTGGGAGGAAGGGGGGTGCAGGAGGGGGGTGCTC